CCCCTCACCTTGATACTAGGACCAGCCTCTCCTCTCCTCTGCCATGACCTTGCTTCTAAAGGTCAGTGGTTTTAAAGCTTAACAACCACCACCACCACCGCCTTAGAGCACACCTATGGGAAAGAGAGGGCGGTAGAGTAAACATATAAACGACAAGTAGAAATTTAGGAGGAAAATCCCTTTTCCCTAGAAAGTTTCTAACACATCCTCACGTAATCCGATTTCTGCGATGAGGGATGAATCAGCCTTCAAAACAGAAAACTCAATAAACAAGAGAACCTTCTGCACGTCCCTGAAAAGATGAAACTGAACACCTAATGTGAAAATAATAGTGTTAGTAGTGATATGCAGGTCATTAAATATCTGCCCCAGTATTTGAGGATTTTAATCTACTTTCGTGTCCGTGAAAATGCTCGTATGAGAAAATGAATCTAAAAAATATTATTGAGCCAACTTTAATTCTACTCTTTCCGTAATAAGTTATCAGGACCCAAAAGATGGGTTCCAAAGAATGATTTAGAATACATGGATGAGAGGTGATTGGACTGAAAAGGCATTACGTTTCCTCATGAAAAAGGGCGGAAAAAGAGGTCAAGAAACTGGCAGAAAATATCTCATGACATGACACTTTAAGTGTGAAGTTTAAAACACATGTGAAAGTGTTGGGGAGGGGGGATAGAGTAATGGGAAAACCCTGGTGTTGTAAATTATACCTATTAAGAGGCGATAACATTTTTAAGTGGCGAATGCTCTAGTTTTGGGAAAATGGAATCTCTCTACAACTCTATTTTTTTATCAAATTCCAATATGCATTCAAAATAACCCACAAACCTTACTTCATGAGGAAAAGAGGGTAAGTAACTTTGTGCGTCGGCAAAAATTCATTCTTAAATAAAATTTAAATCCTTTCTAAATTAGATTCACTTCATATAAACAAATGAAGAAGTTTTATCACTGTCTTGCTAGTATGAGAATTACAATAAAATTTATTTAATTCTCAGTCTATACATGAGGGAACTAGTGCTTGTTTGTGTTTACGCTAGATTCATTAGCGGTTTAAGCACTCACCCAACGAAGAAGAGTCAAAGTTTTTGTTCCACTTGGTTTGCATTGCATTCCTGAAGGCCAAGAACAGGCGACACCTTCTTTGCAGACAGCATGTCGAATCCATCGTGGCCAATAACGATTACCATTGTCTCGCCAGACATATTGAACTGGGCAGTCTGCTTTTTGGACTAGCCATTTTCGAAGTACATCGACTTCTTTTTCAGTCAGATGTGTTTCCTGTCGTCCAACTCCTGGAACATCATTAAAGACGGTAAAATTCAAGTTCCCGACTTGTTGAAGAAGCCTCTGCTTTGCAGATGAAGGAGGATAACCAGTGCTTTCATTTCCTGGTGGTCGAGGTTCAACAGACATCCAAGCATCATCATAGTCTGCACCCAAGATGACTCGCAGCTTTGCGATGGTACCACGGCTGAGATCTGGTTGGAGATAGGATGTTGAGGCTCCATTGTATTTGTCACCGTATAAACTGCTGGCTTCCATTCGTGAAGGATAGACACTCACCATAGATGACTGTAGTCGAAGAGCTGTAGGATCAAAGTTGGATACCGAGCGTGTGCCAACATTACCTCTCGGGCGATCTTTCTCAGATTTCGAAGCGGCTGCAGCGGCTTCTTGCTGATTCAAAATGGATCCAACACTCACGCTAACTTTTCGAGAATAGTCTGCATTATTTGGTACTAAGTGAGCCCCAGCTCCGCCAATACTGGTAGTCACAATTGACAAACCTGGATGGGCTGAAGGTTTGCTCAGGCTCAACGTAATAAAAGAAAGCAGCATTAATAGAGAAACACTGTCCATTTTCTACTGATTCACTTCCACCCAAGGTGCAAAGCGCTCTTATAAAAGCTTCAGGCGGTGCGCACCTACAACTCTATCAACCAATAGGAGGGCGTAACACTGATGCGCGTAGAAATGTAGCCACTCTGTAAGTGGGTTAGCGAGCTCTTTGCATAAAATGAAAGCAGAAACTCTTCAATACAATTATATGCTAAATTTGCTTACTCATAAAATATAAACATCACTTTCTGTATTGCCCTTCTTATAAGAAGGATGTTGAAATGGTGATCACATATTTATACCTTATTCCAAACAAGGACAAAACGATTTGAATTACTCCATTTCAGGCTAAATTCTAACTGTAAATATTAATTCATATATCGTGGTTAATCAAGCACTGTTTTACCATTTTATATTACACGATTTCTATGTTTAAATAACATTAAACGGGGCTCAATTTGTAACCTATAATGAAGAAAAAATTTTAAACATGTTATTTTTTTAAAATCTATTTTAATTAAGTCAACATTTTTGAAAATTTTCTTTTTTAAGAAGATTGTTGAGCACTTATTCGCCAATGAAGTTTGTATGAGAAAATGCAATGAATAATAGTAGTAAAAAAACTTAATTAAACTTTATGTTGCAGTGGGGTTGAGCATTTTTCTTACAACATCCAATAAAAAAGTCGAGTAATAAAGTCTTTCTTTCGACGCCAAGATGAAAAATTGCAATCGCGTTTGAGATTAGAGATTTTATAGGTGGATGGTTTTCGGTTCTATTCTTGCAAGAAGTAGTTTTGGTTAAATGAAAAAATGTCTCACACGCGCATACTTTTCCTTTTGCATACTGATTAAAGCACACTGGCGTTTGGTATGAGAATGATTGGTTTAGTGCTAACAATTAGCAAATTGGTTCCAATAATTGATTCGGCGCAAACTTTGTTGTAGGTGGAAGTTAAAAATATTGAAAACGGACATTCACATCCATTCCTGGGTAGAAAAGAAATGAATTTATTTCCAAATCTTTTCATTTTAGTGAAATAGTAAGTGAAACTTTCTTGCAAGTTCAAGCCAAGCTATCGACCAGAATTCAGCTGGACTTAGCAAGACTCATTAGAGTTCAATTAGTATCGAGAAAATTATCAACGACAAATACGATTGAGTCGCTACATAGCAGGGTATTGTTTCTAGACATATTGGTCTTCGAGAGGCTTTTGAAGCTTCCATTCAATTCTAAAGGAAGCCCATGGATAGGTTTAAAGTAAATCTGCAATTTTATAAAACTGTAAAACTTAGTTTTATTGACGAACTAATCCATGGTTATCAGGATGAAATTTTGCGCAGTTCTAGATTCACAAGTTCTTCAAATCTCAAGTCCAGCTAATTTTTGCTTAGTATGAAGAATGTTTGCAGAGTAAGATATGAATCCATGGCTATCAAAACTGATCATCCAGTCGTAATGCTTTAGAGAATCCTCAGTTAAGAAGTCAAACGTCGAAACGAATTCGATGGATACTTTCGGATTTTACTCTTCCTTTAATTCCACATACATAGCACCTGTAGAAACTCCTCCTCCACCAACACCCCCCACCCCCTACCCCCAAAGTCGGAACTCTAAAATGGACTTTGCCAAATGTATGCATTCCATTAACAGATACGCCTCAGTTATATGTTTCGATTTAATTCACCGAAGGCTCAAGATGACTTCTTCGAAACCCTAGCCTGTCGTTTGATAAGAAATAAGCAAATAAAAGAGCCATTTATTACGCGTGTCACTTCACTTCACTTAGTCTATTGGCTCATTGCTAAGCCCATAAGATCAAAAAGTCTACCAATATTTGTAATAAAAATACAACTCGAAAATATAAATGCGTAGTTTTATCCATTGCCGTAGGGTGCGTGATAGACTTACCTCCACGTGGTGCCCCTTGGTCAATGTATACTTATACAGCAAAAAGTCAATAAAACGTCAGTTGACTTCTGATTTCAAACTACCATGACCCGACTGTATTTGACCACTTCCACTTTTTTGTCTGTCTCTTTTACATCTGCGCATCACTTTTTGTTCCCCTCTTCACATTTTGTGACTTTGTCTGTTCCTTCCCTCTGGGAAACCCAAAGTCAACTAAAATGTTAATGATAACTATCATTTATTTATTTATTTATTTCAAATGGCAGGCGTTTTGATAGATATCATTAGCCATTTAGCTGGCTTCGGGATTCACAGAGGGAAGGTTCATCAAAGTAGCAGAAAGTCGAGGGGTGGGGAACAGAAGAGCGATTCACAGATGTAAAAGAGATAGACGGACACAAAGGTAGAGAAAAAGGTAAGGGGAATACTGTGGAAGGGGTCGAATATGACAACCAGGGGGGTCGTGGTAGTTAGAAGCCAGAAGTCATTTGCCG